GCCCTTAGGTAAAAAAAAAAAACATTAAAGCAAGGCTACTGCTGAAAGATCAAAAGGGTTCAGAAGAGTTTTTCTCCATTCTTAAAAAGGCAGCCTGTGAAGGCACAACCGCAAGGGGTGTTTGTTGAAGAATATTCATGGCCGGTGCTTAATAGAGTTGTGTCCTGGAAAAACACCTTAACCCATTAATAATTCTTATTTGAAAGGAAGTTGTTCCTATGCAGTTCTTATCATTATAACTTACTCTGTGATTCTTCCTGATAGTTTTACCTAAAGCACTAGGAATTATCCATTCATCCATTTTCTAAGTGCTTAACCCAATTTAGGTCACAGGGGAGCTGGAACCTATCCCAGCAAGCCTGGGATGGGACACCAGTCCATTGCTGGGCAGACACAGACACTCACAGCAGGGCAAAAAGAAGCCAATTGACCAGTATGTATCTGAACTGTGGGAAGAAACCAGAGGACCCAGGGGAAACCCACCTGAACTCAAGGAGAACATGCAAACCCCATGCAGATAACACCTTAGGCTCGGAAGTGAAACCAGGACCCCAGCTCTATTAGGCAGCAATGCTAACAACTGTGCCTCCCAGTATGATTCTAGTAGATTATAGCACGACACTAGGAATTATAATATTTTCAAAATACACAGAACTCAGGAACAGGACATGTAGCCATTGATTAATAGATGGCAATGACGCACAAGAGGATCCAAGTAAAAACTACTTGATAGTGCATTTATAAATGTCGTGGTGTCTTTCAAAAAATGTCCTTAAATGGATCAATCAGCTACTAACAATGATGGTGGAGTGAATGGCCTATTCTTGTTTGTTCTTTTTATGTTATCAGATATCCTCTCTGTCCTGTAATAAACATAAGGGGAAAAAAAGAAATAAGAAGTGTACTTTAAGTTTGATGGGTTGACACAGGTGATCATGAAAGTTGACAAGGGGCTGAAAGGTTTGGTTATTTACACCTTGCTGTTTAAAATTAATGCTAACATTAATATTATTCAAAAGGTTAGATTATGTGGTCATAATTGCAGTAGTTCTAGAAAAAATATATAGAAGCAGATTACCATAAAAGCTATTTAATATTATGCACCTCCCACTGTTTGGGAATGTCAAAAATGATTAATGTTTTATAGGGTAAAAGCTAAAGTAATTGCGGATTCTTTTTTCAAAAAAGCATCTGGCAGTGGCATGAAAAGAGAAAAACAAGATTAAAGCAGTAGGCCACACAGGTTATTAGCAAACCTTAAACCTGTTTAAGTGCAATTATACCCTACTGAATTACCTTCTAAACTGAAATGTGGCGATGAAACACTTGTTCCATAGTGAAAAATGGGCTCACGCAAAAGTTGTTTTCCATACCCATGAGCTGGCTTTTGTTGACACCATTTAGCATCTAATGACAAGATTTGAGGAGCTCTTCAGAAGTGCAAAGAAGATGTGTTACACTTCACCATATTCTCTTGGCTTGAAAATACTGTCTCAATGAATGAATTTCTTATTAAATCTAAAATTAATTTTGCTTCAGGAAAGCATTTTTTTAAATTAGAAGTTACAGAAAACTGCAATTGTATGACAAAATATATTTGAACTTGATAAAGGTACTGAGCAGATCCCTCAAGCTTTAAAGTAATTTGAATTGGGATGAGGCTTGAAACAGAGGAATACTTTTGACATTTTGAATTTCTCTTGATGAATTTTCTTTTACACTGTGTGATAAATATTCTACAGAACAAAAACTACAGTGCCATCACTAGAAAAATATGAGGAAAAGTTATAGGAAATAGATAACCTTACATTCAACTCTACACTGGATATAAAGTTTATTATTATTATAATCATACATTGTATAAATATGATTGCAGCAATAAGCCATTGATGCAGAAGCAATTAAGCGTCATTATATTCCACTGAATTACTCTATCATTTCAAATGAACAAATAAAATACTCTATGCCAAAAAAGAGCAAATATAAAACATTTGACATCTAACAACACATTTTGCAGAGATCTTTAGAAGTAAAAAAATAATGCAGATTTATATGCAGTAAAAGATTCCAAATGCAGTGTGTTTATGCATGTATCATGTGCACAGCAGTGTCAGTATTATCAAATACAGCAACTTTTCTTAACCATCACCTGCTGTGTAATATTTTTAGCATTGAAAGACAAGCATTGTGAGGTGGACTACTGCTCTCATAATTGCTAGATACTGTATAAAAAAGACGGAAATTGTCTGATAAGTCAACTAAAACTGTAAGATATAAAATATCTCTGTGATATAAATGGTAAAGTTTCTATTTTAAGTGCAGTCTATAAACAACCTGGACCTGGCAGATGTAAAAATAATTGATGCAACATCTTAAAACTCTTAAACAAATTAACTAAGTGGTATCAGAGCTTTAACACCTTACTGATACAGAGCCAATTTCCACCTGGAATTTTCTCCCATTTAATATTTTATTATATCTCTGCAGCAGAACAAAGCAGAAGCCTGGTTGAGGTGTTACATTGAAGCTAGCCCCCTGGCATTAAGTGTAAACTTAAACAGTTTGATAAAAAATCTACATAATGTTTTGTGAAGACTGGACCTGAAATGAAATTTCTCACATCCCCCTAAAATGTATAAAAATTATTGAAAGATAATAAAAAATGTGTAAAAGCTATTGAATTGCTACTGTATAAAAAAAACTTCAGGCACTGCTAGAGAGCCTTTTTCTGCTGTTAGGCATTGAAAAAAACCTCCAAAAACACCTGCTTTCAGGTGTGAAAAGATGACCACTGATAAGAATCTGATTGATTACCACCTGCTGTGTCAATAATTGACAGCTGGATTACAGCAAGACTGCCGCAAGAGGCTCCCAGGGGAAGTCCCATCCCCTAGGGGCTCTGAGTGGCTGAAAATACAGTGAATGACAGTGTTTTCCACCAATCAGAACATCTTTTTCAAGGCAGTCAGTTTGAAAATTCAGTTCTAATAGCCAATAACTCTTAGTTTCCTGAAAGTCTGGAGATCAGTAAGATTGGCCTTTTGGGGATGTATTTATGGTCTTACTGATGCCCCGGACAAGGTAAAAACATGGAATATATATACAGTATATTTTTACTGGTTTTTGCTTTTGTGGTCATGTTTTGTTGGGTTATTGATTACTTATCGATGGATTTTGGAAGTTTGCTGAAGTGTGTCATCATATAGAAAGTGCTATTGAGATTGATGGCCTTGGTGTTCTTAGGTTCTGAAAACGGCTATGTGAAGCCCTGGTTGTCTATTTTCGATTGATATTGTCCATTTTCTGTAAAGGTTTTTGGGTTTTGCCAGTGAAATACTATGAACTGTGATGTTTCTCTTAAGTAAACATTGACTTGGTGCGTCAAACACTCGGTACCTCGGGCGGTTCTGGGGGACATCTAGGGTCAACAAATCATTTCTCTTTTTGTGAAAAAGTGACTGTACATATGAGCATAACTCTAATTTGTCCATCCATGCATCCATTATCTGCTTACCCTGGTAAGGAGCCCAGTACCTTGGAATTTAAGTAAGCAAGACAGCAACTGAGCACACATGGCTGCTCTCCCTCATGATGCAATGCCAGTCCACCGCAGACAAGAGAGATAGACAAGGAGGAGAAGAGGCTGGAGAGTAACCAATCAAAACAAGCATGTCTTCTGAAAGTGGGAGGAAAGCAGAGCCCCCAGCCAAAACCCAAGTGAACATGGAAAGAACATGCCAACTTCACATGCATGCATGTCAGAGGCTGGGATCAAACTCAGAACCTCTGAGAGGAAAGTCACTAAGCTCCCTGCTGCCCCCATTTGTATGGGCTGTAAATGATTTACATTAAGATCAGACATATTGTGTGGCATCTTTTAAAATAGATTAAATTTCGCTCTGTATTGTGTGGCCAAAAATGCTCGGTTCCAAATCCATAGGCTTCACATTCAGACTGTGTTTGATGGCATCTCTTGTATCTTAAGAGACTGCTTTCACTCAAGATATCCATGCATATTATGATACACAATGTAATTGTATTTGCTATTCAGAAGCAATTGTAAGATCAGTAATTGTAGGTATAGAAGCCATTCTTAGGTTTCACTAAGCTAAACTATCATACTTTACAACCTCAATGTAGGTTAAATATTTTTTTTGTACAAATCAAATTGGTGGAGACTACAGTGTGTGTCTCTCTCTCAACTGGATGTAACCGGAAACACTTGTTGGGCACATCTAGGCCAGAGAAAGAACAATGGGAAAAAAACATAAATAGTCCATTTAAAAAATGTTAATATTTGCTGCTGAAACATAAACTGAAAACAAAGTGGATAGCGTGAATTCTGAACAAACTATTTTCTCACTAGAAAACATGCAAATTATTCTTTTAACCTTACATGCAAAGGGAAAAAAATATCTTTAGTAAAATAAAAAAAAATTGAAATCTGGGTGTAATGACACCCTATTCCACTGTGAAAAAGTTTGTTAAAGTTAATTATTTAATTTATCCCGTGATATTTCAAAATGCCTGCTATTGAGCTCCGTTTCAGCCATTTACTAACTAACGTCTTAATATAATTGATTAAGATATGATTAGCACACATACAGTAGAAATGCAGGTCTTCACGTAAAGATATTCTGACTCAAAGCCGGCTCTTCAAAACTCTCTCCAGATGAGCTACAGCTTCAATCAAAAGCGTATAGGTAAAATACGCTGCATCAATCGGCATCAATCAATACCACTGAGATCTGTTAAAAAAAACACCCCGCCTTTCTCAGGTGTAGGGTAAAATGGATTAAACCCCACATATCTTCCTGTGCAGTGTACCATGTGAGGCTGCTCTCTACTCTTAGGGAGCTGTTTCAAAAGGAAAAAGTTCACTCGCATTTCTCTACCCTGTGCTTGTTCTTCCTTTAGCTCATAAGATAAGACAGCAGTAAATATCAAGATTGAAATGTCATTATTGATTGATGCCAGAAGCTAATAGAGTTTTCACTTACTTGATGCTTTGTGTCTGCAGCGAGTCAGGGTCGGAGGCGTTGAGAGTAGTGACAGGGCTGCCAATGGGAATATTCTCCCGCTTGGTGACTCTCATTGGGTCCGGGTAGAAAATGGGACCTTCATTGACATCTAGGACTGTGACCTGCACTGTAGCTGTAGAACTGGGTCCATAAGACACATCAGGAACTAAGGGATCCTCATTTTCCACTTTTATCAGAAGCGTGTGGAAGGCAGAAATCTCATAATCCAGAGGCTGAGGAGCAAGCAGGACATGAGTTAGAAGCCAGGGAGAAATCAGCAATTTGTTTTATATAATGGAATAACTGCTGTAGGGACTTTTCAGTTCTGCGTCTAACCTTTTTAGATCTGGCAGTATAGTGGTTTTACATTAGGTGAACTTAGAGTTTTAAGTACTATAATTCATTGCAGTCCACACTTAATGCAAATGACTAATAATGATTCTTTGCATTTATATAGCAATTTTCTTTCCAAAAGATTCAAAAGCACTTTGCATAATGTTGAAATGCATAACACATAGTAGGAATAACAATACATTATTGCATTGCATTCTATACATTAAAGAACATTACAAGGTACATAAGAAGACTTGTTCTGCAACATGATGTTGTATAATAGGATGTATAAAATGTATCCACATTTTGAATGTTTACTTGTATGTACTTTTATACTTCTGTAGATATAATCTGTATATAATATTCTGAATGGCACAGGAATCATACAGCAAAAATGGTTTGTTCATTCTTAGCAAGGGTTCTGAATAGAAGGGGTCCTATGGTTCTGACCTTCACCACAGACAGCATGCCTTCATTATTGCTGGGGTTGGTGTTGACTTTGAAACTCTGGCCTGGGTTCCCATTTATGATGGAATATACTGCCCTCCAGGCTCCAGTAGTTGGGTCATCCTTGTCTTCAACGGTTAAATTGACGATCACCCCTGTGGTCCCTTCATTCACCTCTGCCAGGAACTGTAAAAATGAAGAACACACACACGAAAATACACTTAGATGGTTTTGGACTGTACATGCATTTCCCCTCAAAGCAACCTAAGAACATAAGAAAGATTACAGACAAGCGGACGCCATTTAGTCCATGTAGTGTTACTCATTTGGTAGTTAAAGGCTAATTGATCTACGGATCCCATCCAGCCATTTCTTGAAAGAATCCATCCAGGACTTGAACAGCATGGCTTGATATCTTGTTCCAAACTCCCACATCACAGTAAAATCAATCTGTCATTAGGTAATCTCATCTATTTGCTATGATGGTAATAATGACAAATGAACATTAATAAGAAGACTTACTATGGTACCTTTAAGTCAACAAAATAAAGCTTCATAAATGAAGTTCCATAATATGCATGGCAAGTAATTCTCCAAGCAAAAAGTAAGATGGAAGATTCTACATTTTCCTTAACCATCACCTGCTGGGTGATACTGTGTTCACTTTCATACAATCTGCTCCCGCTAAGCCATGAAGTTTGTTTCAATAGAAAGGCTCCACCACCCAGCCGCAGAAGAGAACGCGCATCTCTCTGCACATCACTCAGCAGAGTAGGTGCACACAGGCATCAGGAATGTCGAGTCTCAATGAGCTGGTGCAGCTGGGAACGCCTTTCCTCAGAGATCAATGAGATGGGAAGCCAGTGGCTGACCCTCCGACTTGACTGATGAGCTCTGTCAAGCGTGGGTGCCACACTCCCCGAGTGCATCCTCTGCCAGCCTGACAAACACAACATGACCTGCGGGATTCTCTCAGAGCAGGCTTGCAGAGCTCATTATTTTCTTTCATAATTCACCTTCTCCTCCCTGTAATATTAGCTGATTCAGCATATTACAATTAAAAATGATTGCATTTAAAAAAGAATAGGATGGTTATGGGCATCCAAATGTTATTTCATCGCATTCTGTTTGTACTGTATATTGACTTGGTAACTGATGCTAAGAGTGCACTTGTATGAGTGAGGCGTCATGACAAAATGCAAGTGGTGCTGAACCTTTACTATATTACAATATACCATATCAGACATTCAGGATTATAGAAATGAAAATGGAAAATATCCTAATCATCTCATACTTCCCCAACAATGAGGGGAACTAAATTCCATTTTCTGTACAGTGCTCTGTTAAAATCCACAGCAATAAGGGTCAAATCTAAATAAAATAACCGTATAATGTCATTTTCTTACACATTCGAACCGCTTCATACCAGAGGGCCTGGGAATTACAGTTTTTGTTAAGACTCTGTTGTCTGGTGCTCCTGGCAGGACCCAACTGAGAGCAATTCCCACAGCCCTTGCCCTGCTACAGCCAGGAGTACATGAAATAAATTGCATGTTGCTGTTTTTCTTCCAAAGTCCAAGTGAACAATTGGATTTCATATCGCCCTCTCAGACTAGACCCTATTCACGGAAGGGCACCTCCTTACAGCGGTCACCATATGCTGCTCTGCCCTCTGGGAGTTTAAATCAAATACATGGTGCTGGAGCCTCGTCTCTCGCCCAGTAGTAAGGGTGTGCTTTGCCTGCGATCTGTTTTCTTTGTACCACCTCAGCATTCAAAACAAACACGCCCAATTCTACTTTTCATGAACACAAGTCCCTTAATTTATTTCACTGGCAATTCATTGCACTTGTGCAGTAATGACTATCCTAGTGAGGCAGACAGCTGCCACTGTTGTTACTTATTTTGCATGGCATTCGTGTTCTATTGCACTTTCACCATGGTCAGAAAAATCACTAGACACACACATATAATCTGAGAGCGGACTCTTAAGTGCATCGATTGTTTTTTTTTTCTGAAAATGCAAAAACAGCCGTAAGATCTAGATAGCAAAAAATGCTTAAGGGGAAGCAAAGTGTAAGCAAAATACTTTCTGAAGTGTTCATTCCTTGCTATTCAGATTATCAAAACATTTTATCCCTTGACTGGAAGTAGTTTCATAATAGTTTTATCTCACCCAAACAACGTATTCAAAAACGGGTTTTGAAATAAAATCTTAAATAAGATCTTTTCAGTTCTCTGCCCCCGGCTTAAACTGAAAATCCCAGCCATTCCCTACACTTCTATTTATCATAGAATAAAGAAAATAAATTTTGTCCAGTGACACAGCATGGTGATTACACACACTTTTACCCATGCCTTACTGATGGAAGAGCTTCAGGTAAGCCTAATACAAAAGAAGGTTGTTCTGAATTCCCAATAAGAATTAATACAGAATTAAATTTCACCCGCCTGCACGTAGTCTGTAACACAGGGAGGTAAAGCTTTTTAGCTTGTTTTTTATATTGCTTTGACTTTATTATGCATTAAAGTTTCTTGAACCTTTGCACACACATGCTTTCTGATTGTCTGTAAAGATCAGGTGTTGTGAGATGGGAAATTTTTCCAGTGCCATTAAGATCAATGTTCCTGCTACTCCCATGCATTAACATCATTCATAGCCCCACAGCTGAGAGCTGGCTTATCCTAAAAACCAATGCGCTTTATACCCGCCTTCAACTTGGCTAAACAGCTCTGCACACTTTCTTTAGCGTAGCTTTGTCAATCCAAAAATAAAGCATAGCACAGACCCCCTAGAGGAATTAAAAAAAATATCCTTTTCAACAGCAATCAAAGACAGAAGTCATGCATTTACGATGAGGCTAGTCTATAGTCTTATGTAACCCCTGACTCACTGGTCAGCCACGACTAGGCAGCGCATTTCATTTAATCATCCCAGTCAGTGAAGCGGTAAGATGGATATATTCAATCTTCATGGGCTATTGATAGTGAACCCCTTTTCTGTTGAGTGAAAATACAGCAATGAAATAACCAAGCAGGACTGGCCTTGCTTCAAAATTGACTGTCACTTGAGTTTCAGATTGGGAAAATATCCGTGGTGTATTTACAAAAGGTATGGTTCTTAAACAACTGCACAAATAGATATCTGAAGAGCAACAGTTTGTGGACAAAACCTCTTTTCCTCTCTGACCACTTTATTTTGCCAAGTCATGCCTCAGTTCATGTACTTTCCACATAATGCAGAACAAAAAACAGAAAACAAACTTTTTTTTTTCAAATGTTTTGTGCAAATGGCTGTAATTTTTATCCATAGCAACATACATGTGTATTTATTTACAGTATACAGCTGGTGTACTTTACTGGTGCAATTTTGGGTGAAGTACCTTGCTTAAGAGTACAACAAAGGTGCAGACACCAACAAAATACAGTACATTAATATGCATAGTGACTTGTACAGTGTACTCAGACATGAATATTAATACCAAGAAAATCAAATAACTGCTTCCCAGTAACAAGGTATGAAGTTAGAGACATTAGAGAAATGTAAAAATATATAGAAAAGCATATGCTGGCAATGTGCTACAATACTATGGAGCTAGTCAGTCCCATTCACTTTAGTGTCACAGTGGCCTGAAGACAGCTATCTTTTAAACTGTCTTGAGGACTCCTGTGGTGAGGCACTCCATCCATGTTTAGTTTTATTGGATCACTAGGCATGGAACACTGCACAGAAATTGAGACTGACTCATTGAAAACAAAGCCCTTTGGGGTGCAACTATACTTTTAGACCACTTGTACCCAAATGGGCTTGATGGGCAGAATGGCTTTCTCTTTTTTGTAACACTCTTTCATATGTTCTTACAGTATATCATCTGTCATGAATCGAGACTATTAAAGTACATTCTTTCAGTATGACCCTTTAAATCCTTGAAGTAAGGATATTGATTGAAGTCAACTATTATTATCTGCTATGCTCCGAAAGGGAAAAATCAGTAATTCCAGACCACCTTATGTACATATGTTCCCAACAGGTCCCAACACCGAGAACTAGAAGCTTGGTTTCAGACAGTGATGCACTAGAGCATGCAATGAAATTAGCTGGGTCATATTAAAGAAACACCAGCGCAATAATGTCCGGAAAAGGCCTCCTTGCAGCATAACATCCTGGAACAATTCCCCCATCTAAACAACCAAGATTCCCTCTAACTAACGAAAACAAACAAGAGAGGCAGGTTGGCAGGTGAGGACTGGGGAGTTCTTTCAATTCAGTCCTCTGGTGAGCCACAACTCAGCCTCTCTCAACAGCCTTGAAGAGATGGGATTTAAATTGTGCTAGGGACATTTGTATAAAGTGGAATGAAGTGCCTTTTCTCTCCCTGGAGTGATAAATGCTGAGCACATCCTCCCCCCCCCCCCACACACCTCCTCTCTGAGACGAAGAAAATGGGAAACCAACACAGATTTTAGACGTTTGACAAATAGGTTATGAATATAGATGGCAGCACACCAGAAATGAATTGTACAGCTGTTCATTTATTCGAAAAGGAAAAGAGGACTGACACTCCGCTTTGGCCCCAGAGAACACGTCTATTCTTTTTGACTGATGAGCTCATAAATGTGCCTAAAATTCGGTAATGTCAGCAGCTTGTCTAGGTTCTTTTCAGCTGAGAATATTTTTTTTTTAATTTCCTCCTTCCAGGCATTTCTCTTTTATTATTTTTAATTGAAACTAATAATCTCCTTTAACTACCATTCTTAAAAAAATAAATCCTCTGGTGATTTCAGGTGTTCATGCCCCATACCTTTTAATTTAGATGACAAGGTAGGCTTCCTTTTCTTTTTCTTAAACAGAGCCGACAAAAGTATGCCTTCCACTTGAACACACAGTGACCAGGGCTAGCTAACAGTATTACGTGGCTGCACAATCAAATCTGCAGGATTTAAACCAGACCAGATTTAAAGGGGTTCTGATTAACTGGACCTGGAGTAAAACTGTTATGGTTCAACAAATGTGATTTTCTTTGCAGAAAAGGACAGGAGTGGACCGGTAAATTTGATTTAAGTCCTGTGACTGAAAAACTTTCAATTTTACAAGGTTAGTGTGCACACAATGAAAACTGGCATATCCACAGGCTGCACCTGAGGGTTAAAATCAGTCAGGCTTTGCAGCAACATCTGAATATGAA